CGCTAACAATTAAAAATTGGCTCAGACGATTGTGTAAGGAACAAATCTCTTGAGACAAAGTCTCAAAAATGGGTGATTTATTTATGAAGATTACAATTGGGAAGAAACAAAACTCCTCTAAAGGGCACAAACACACTAAGTAAATTGAAAGTTTGCACTTAGAAAATAAATGAATCAAACTTACATATTCTCTATTGAGAGTGAATCACTGTTGGACATGGTCACTTTATTTATGAAGATTACAATTGGAAAGAAACAAAACGCCTCCAAGAAGCACAAGCAAACTAAGTAAATTGAAAGTTTGCACTTAGAAAATAAATGAAATGAAATTACATATTCTCTGTTGAGAGCATTTGATTCGGGGTCTTTTCTTCTATGTCTTCTTTTCTGTATACTCCTTTGCCGATTTTCTCTTGTAGAACTGTTTGGAAACTGTTTGGCGCTCTATAACTACCCACTTTCTTTGTAATGGCTGAATTGTCGAGGAACTGCCGTTCGCAATTGTTGTTATTGCTCTGTCGTTTAACCACTTGTAACCGAGATTCTTGGATTGTGGGGTGTGATAAGGTTGTTCAATAACCGCTTCGATAACCGTCATTTTAAGTAATCACAAGATACCGTACTCGCTCAAATCTTGAGCCACTCAAAGGGTTAGGCAAAAATTGGATCATCGTTTTGGGCGACAGTAAGGCTATTCGCTCAGATCCTGGACGTCCTGCAAGTTTGGGCGATGATAGTACTTCATTTATGGGCTTCCAATATATCCTACAATGGTCTCATTTGGACCTATATCTTGAACTCCCTATCTGGGCTTCAATTCTTGGACCATTTAATTGGACTTCATTTTTTGTATGTCAACAGAAATGTCGTGTTTATCCAGGCAGATTCTTCAACATAATTTTCAATGAAAAGTTAGTTGATGAAGTTTTCATTCCTATTGAGGAGACCATTTTGGATGAAAACTTCAATGTATTTTCAATGTATACTTCAGTGTAGCCATTTCCCAATAAAGGTGGATTTATTTTATTTTATTTTTATCATTTCATTTTTTAAAAACCAAATGTACACAACCTATTAATTAATGTACAATTTTAACTCCTCTTGCATATCATGTAAATATAATTTGTATTTCCTTTACATCTCTCAATTGAAGAGATTTTCAATCACTTTTAAGATCCAAATCAAAATTTAGATCCATTTTATACTACGATTGGAGATACTTTAAATACTATAATATTCACTTTAAAATTTTCACCACTAATCTTTGAAATTATTTCGTGCGGGTTATCGCTAACAATTAAAAATTGGCTCAAACGATTGTGTAAGGAACAAATCTCTTGAGACAAAGTCTCAAAAAGGGGTGATTTATTTATGAAGATTACAATTGGGAAGAAACAAAACTCCTCTAAAGGGCACAAACACACTAAGTAAATTGAAAGTTTGCACTTAGAAAATAAATGAATCAAACTTACATATTCTCTATTGAGAGTGAATCACTGTTGGACATGGTCACTTTATTTATGAAGATTACAATTGGAAAGAAACAAAACGCCTCCAAGAAGCACAAGCAAACTAAGTAAATTGAAAGTTTGCACTTAGAAAATAAATGAATTGAAATTACATATTCTCTGTTGAGAGCATTTGATTCGGGGTCTTTTCTTCTATGTCTTCTTTTCTTTTTTATACTCCTTTGCCGATTTTCTCTTGTAGAATTGTTTGAAAACTGTTTGACGCTCTATAAATACTCACTTTCTTCGTAATGGCTGACTTGTCAAGGAACTGCCGTTCGCAACTGTTGTTATTGCTCTTGTCGTTTAACCACTTGTAACCGAGATTCTTGGATTGTGGGGTGTGATAAGGTTGTTCAATAACCGCTTCGATAACCATCGTTTTAAGTAATCACAAGATATCGTACTCGCTCAAATCTTGAGCGACTCAAAGGGTTAGGCAAAAATTGGATCATCGTTTTGGGCGACAGTAAGGCTATTTGCTCAGATCCTGGACGTCCTGTAAGTTTGGGCGATGATAGTACTTCATTTATGGGCTTCCAATATATCCTACAATGGTCTCATTTGGACCTATATATTGAACTCCCTATCTGGGCTTCAATTCTTGAACCATTTAATTGGACTTCATTTTTTGTATGTCAACAGAAATGTTCGTGTTTATCCAGGCAGATTCTTCAACATAATTTTCAATGAAAAGTTAGTTGATGAAGTTTTCATTCCTATTGAGGAGACCATTTTGGATGAAAACTTCAATGTATTTTCAATGTATATTTCAGTGTAGCCATTTCCCAATAAAGGTGGATTTATTTTATTTTATTTTTATCATTTCATTTTTTAAAAACCAAATGTACACGACCTATTAATTAATGTACACTTTTAACTCCTCTTGCATATCATGTAGTCAATTCTAAGTCCGGAAAAATCGGAGGAGAATTTTTACAACTCTAAATTTCTTTTGACAAAATATGTTCACCATTTCCTTACAACTTTACGTGTCAAGCTAGCTCGCATTTGGCTTGCCTCGCATGCAACTGCAAATTGACTCACAGGGTAGGCCGAGCCGAACCCAATGCTGGAAGAAATTTTAATGACAGATGATCTTTTTCTCTCCATGCCATAGTAAAAACGAAAAAAGCTTATAGAAATAACAAGAAATTGAATTTTGAAAAATACATTTCAAATAATTTTACTTAAAATTTCTAGATTCGTGAAAATATAAAATGAAATTTTAATAATATATTTAATTAGATATTTTTAATTTTTATAATAAATTCCCGATTATGAGAGAATAATAATATTTAATACTATTGATGCTACAATATCAATTTAGGTGATATTGTATGACAGACTCAATTAAAGATAAAATTATATAACTTATTTAATTGTACTTCTCATTCAATACTAATTAGTGTCACCTAAATTGATATTGTAATATAAATGGTGTTAAATAACATTGTCTTTGTGAGAAAAGAAACTTAGCCCTTGTTTGGGTTCCATTGAAATGAATACTCGAGAGAAACATGTTTAGGAATACTGATTTTTTGAAAAACGTGTGATTAAAAATAAGAAAACATTTTAGGTTTANTTGATTATTTCAATAAAATATGAGCAAATAAATATTATTTAGTCACCACCCATTTAATAAAGAATGCTACTAGTATATCGGGGTGTACATCACGGTGTACACCTTTCTCACATGGTTAAGGGGCCCACTCGAATATTTTATTCAAGTGGACCCCTCCATGTGAGGGGATGTAGATCTTGATATACACTTTTTGATGTACAAGTAGCATTTTTCTTTAATAAATTAATCTTGTGTTAAATTTTGATGAGAAGATTATCTCCATCTAAAAGTGAGAGAGGCATATTTAAGACAAATTTAAATGGTGCGTATATAATTTTCTAACCACGCAAACCTTTAAATTGGTGTTCAACATGTTATGTAAATTGTTGATTTGTAGTCGAACCACATTAAATTCTTGTAGCCTTACTGTTTGTTTTTTTCCCCTCCAAGGTAAACATAAACATCGTCTACATGCGTGTTGAAAATAAAATTTAAATCATATACATGTGGTCCATGCGTGTTGAAAATAAAATTTAAATCATATTATTTTTTGAATTCCCTATAATTTTGAACAACCTTCACAAGTCAAAATTCGACAAAACCTAAATAATATATAATACCAACTTGGAGTTTCAAAAGAAAAAGCAATTAATTTAAAGCAGCCGATTATTTAGTTCTTGTTTGCCCCCTCGTTTTTTAATATTTATTTTCTTTAAAGTCATTTTCAACCTTGCATTCCTCCAATAAAATAAATTTGCTTTTGATCCCTCATTTTCAAAAGAAAATCACATTTCACAAAATCTATTATAAAACACTCTACAAATCGGGGATCAACGGTGAATACAATTTAATTGACATCACGGTTGGTCCCGATCCCACGCCCGAGTACCACCCTGGCTCCTGGGAGGCACATCCTGCGATTTACCTCCTTCACAATGACCCAGGGCAAGGTCGGTGGGGGCCCTCAAGGTTGGGGTTCAACTTACGATCCAAGAAAATGTACTCATCTGCTTATAATTTTCAAAGCACAAAACAAGAAAAGAGATAAGCAACTTGCACGCATATAATACGCCTTTTTATAATCAGAAACACATGGAAAAAGGCAAAAATCAAGTTGCAACTTGCTCATTTCCATTAACGATTACTTTGTCTTCATCACCTTAAGGCCAACTTGCAACACTAGCTGTTTGATTCCCTTCACATTGTAAGGTGCCCCACCCTACCCCACTCCATGCACTGCCTCAGATTTGAGATTTTTAGGTGGGACAATTAGACCATTTCTCAATTCGAGTATGTTTTTTTTTTCTAAATTCATTTTCAACCATACATATCATTAAACCGACACACTTCATCAACTTTTCAACCACACATTTAATTAATTTTATCAAAATCTATTAAAAATCTGATTTTATCAAAACCAAACATGAGCATAAAGCTTAACTAAATCTCTCAACTACCTTAATCACTCGCTTCTCTAAAGGTCGACCATACGAGATGGTTGAAAGTCGATCCATCAATGTCCTCTCACGTCTTATTTCACAATTCAGGTGCAGTTTATATATCATCCAATAAGTCCAAAGAACTGATTCATTGTTCATAAATATCATCTAACCTACTATGAATCAAACAAGTACACGAATTAACATAAAATACAAAAAAAACTAGGAAAAAGAAAAACTTGGTTTTGATTCCACAACCTTGAAAAAATTATTACATGTTCCTTGAACAATAAAGAACAGACATTCAACATGTTACATACACATGTATAGTTGAAGATTAACAAGATTTGTGAATTGTTCCTGTAAACCCCAAAAAGGTTTCCATTTATCGAAAAATTTGATGAGAATATCATTGCACGACTCTATATATATACACACATAATTACGTTTATATGTGTATATAGATAGAGATAAATAATTTACTAAACATTATGAGGAAATGTTTGGTCTGGCTATATTCTCGACGATCTCAGCTAGGGATTGGAGGTTACATTTAACAATAGTGTCCACGAAAACGCATGTATCTTCCCTAGTGTTACTTTGTGGTATATCAACAACGTATGATTCAATGACCACCGTGCCTTCACCGCCGTTGGCCACCGGGTGGAGGGTGGTGACGGAGCGGTAGTTCGCAAGGCGGTGATCGCCACCAACGACGCTAAAGCTCATAACATGACGTTCGTCATCGAGGATCTCGAGGCGCTCGGTGCTGCTGACGGCCGGGAGACCCGATATGACGTGGACCTCCCGGAGAGTGCCCACGTTTCCGTTTCCGACAATGACGTGGCAGCTCTTGACGAAGTGTTTGTAGGCCTGCGGGTTGTCGAAGCGGCGGACGACGGACCAGACGGTGGACACGGGGGCCGATATTTCTTGAATCACGGCGGAGCAGCACTGGTTAGGGCTAACTGTGTGGGTGTGGTAGCGGGCTATGTGGTCGGGGACTTCGGTGGTGCACGGCGTCCATCTTTGGAGCTGTTGGACTTGTTTATATGCGGCGGCGGCAGTGGTTGTAGGGGTATCCTTGATTCTTTGTAGTATAAGATTTGAAGGCATTTTCTTGATCCCAATTAATCTCGAGTTAGAGAGACAGACGATGATAGGTTTTTTGGTTAGTTACAGCTATATATATACAGAAATGATCTAATGAGCACCGGTGTTCATCTTATTCTAAGCACCGATGAGTTGGCACATTAATTCATTGGCGGATAAAGATTTTGTGAGTTCCAATCCACCAATGAATTAATGTGTCAACTCATTGGTG